GTCTAATGGGTTTAACAGGTACAAAGATAGGGTACAGGAAATAGGGTACAGAAAATAGGGTACAGGAACTAGGGTACAGAAAATAGGGTACAGGAAATAGGGTACAGCAAGGGCCCCAAGGAGTACAGGAAGTACAGCGGTGGTGTACAAAGATAGGTTATCATGTATTATGATTCTGTATCCCCTCTAATTGCTTTATATATATATAAACTCTAACAACCATAACGTGTTATACCTGTACAACCCTAATGGGTTCGGAGACCCAATACAGGTGAATTCTCCTTTTTTTTTAAATTTATCAATGTGATTGACGGTTTTGTGTTGTGAATTGATGATGGAAAGTCAACTGGATGCCATTACGGACCCAGAGAGAGGGAGGGGGAGAGTGTTCAATCATTCTTCTTAATTAATTACCTGCATGATGTGGGGTGTTGTTAGGCTTATGGTGACTGTCTGGTACTCTCTCTGTCTCTGTTTCTCTGTTTCTGTCTGTCTGTCTCTGTTTCTGTCTCTGTCTCTGTCTCTGTCTCTGTTTCTGTCTCTGTCTCTCTCTCTGTCTCTGTTTCTGTCTCTCTCTCTGTCTCTGTTTCTGTCTCTGTCTCTGTCTCTGTCTCTCTCTCAGTCTCTGTCTCTCTCAGTCTCTGTCTCTGTTTCTGTCTCTGTCTCTGTTTCTGTCTCTGTCTCTGTCTCTCTGTCAGTATCTGTCTCTCTCTGTCTCTGTCTCTGTTTCTGTCTCTGTCTCTCTCTCAGTCTCTGTCTCTCTCTCAGTCTCTGTCTCTCTCTGTCTCTGTCTCTCTCTCGTTTCTGTCTCTCTGTTTCTGTCTCTCTCTCTCTGTCTCTGTTTCTGTCTCTCTCTCTCTCTCTCGAAGTCAAAATCCAAAATATATTCCCCCGTGACGCAGCGAAATCGTCAGACTCCAAAATTTTCACGCCAGCACAGCCTATGGTACCGCCTCAGTATTTTCAAATTTTCCTATGAACTTAAACACAACATTTCCTCCCCCACGAGAGCCACACCTGTGAAAATTTCAGGCTGAGAGAAACAATGAATAAAAAAAAGGTAGGAAAAGCTGGTTAAGCTGACAATTAGGACTTACGAGCACACACGCGCGCGCGCGCGCACTCTAATTGAGACATTAAAAAGGTCCAAAAACCCTAACAATGGCTTATATAAACAGCCTTTTAAACGCCTCATTCCATCAGCGTCAAACGGCTGATTGCATTTAAGAAAGAGATATCTCTTCATAGCACTATTTCCCCCCCCCCCTCTCCTCCCCCCCCCCCCCTCACCTTCTTGACTATGACCTCGAGACGTCGCCGGTGGTCCCTAACGACCTAAGACACCTGTCCGATCACGACTTAACGACCTGGCGACTTAACTACCCGTAACGAGGCTGTCGGACACACACACACGCACCTTGTTCTTGGGGGAGCTCCCAAAGGCAAGGGATTTAGCACTCCTTAATGAGGCTGTAGGAGGGGGTGTTTAAGACCCATTTAAGGAACGTGTTAACAAGGTTGTTTAGTAGTTTGGCTCATTAAAGGGGGGGGGGGCAACCAGTTCAAGATTTGTACAGGTAAAGTTAATTTAACAAAGCTGTACAGTAGTTTGTGGTTAGAGGAGTTGTTAGAAACACTTGTTGGCTTGTTATGGACAGTTGTTATTATTCTACAACTGTGGTGATGAAGGTTGTGGTTGTTAGAGGGGGGGGGGTTTATTTTTATGGTAGTTCACTGCGTCTCTAATGATGGTATTCAGTAGTTCGCGTCTACTGGTAGTTAGGTTACTAGTTTATTGTTGATTGGGTCTTTGTTCTTCTTTGACAACCCTCCCCCCCCACAACACCCCCTCACAACACCCCCCTCCCACCACTAACACCCTCCCCTCCACCCCAACAACCCCCCCCCCAAAACAACACCCTCCCCCCCACAACACCCCCACAACACCCCCTCCACAAAACACAAACACCCTTCACAACACCTCCCCCCTCAACACCCCCCCCCAACACACCCACAACACCCCCCCACAACACCCCCTCCCCCCCACAACACCCTCCCCCCTCCACAACACCCTCCCCCCCACAACCCCCCCCAACAACACCCCCCCCCAACAACACCCCCCCTCACAACACCCCCCTCCACAACACCCTCCCCTCCCAACACCCTCCCCCCCAACAACACCCCCTCACAACACCCTCACCCCCTCCACAACACTCTCCCCCCTCCACAACACCCTCCCCCCCCCATCAACAACACCCCCCCCCCCTCACAACCCTCCCCCCCCACAACACATCTCTCCCACCTTAAAAGACCGTATTCACCTGAACAACCCGTTTGGTGATTAAGTTGTGACAAGTTGTGGGGTCAGGATAACGACCGTGGTAATGGCTGCCTCGGCTATTTAACTTTGCAAACAAGTTTGTTTGATGGAGTGAAGAGCCACTGAGCCGATGGAGAGTGAACACTACCTTTGTTCAAGAGATACACTCCTTGTTGGCTCACGATACGAGCTGATTGAACAACTTGAACAGCCGTTCATTGTTCAATTATATATACAGCCTTTGAACAACTAGCTGAACAAATTTAGAGTTTCGCGAACTTAATTGAACAGCCCCTTGCACGCCACTTATGTTCATTGGTTGAACAGAGAGCCATTCCGGTCACTTAATTGAACATTTCTATAATTTGAGTGTGCTCTAAAGTTCAGCAGGAGCATGAACATAGAGCTGTGTGTGTGTGTGGGTGAGAGAGGGAACCTGGCCACTCTATCAGTTTTAATTACC